AAGGTTTTTCTAAAAATGAAAAGGTTTAATTTTACTTTTTTTTTTTTTTTTTTTTTTTAAAAAAATGTTTCATGTGTGTGCACACGCAGGTCATAGGTTAGCTTTGGATGTCTTTTTTTTTTTTTTTTAATGTGTATGAGTGTATTTTGCTTGCACATATCCAAGCGCACCCGTGTCATGCAATGCCTGTGGAGGTCAGAAGTAGGTGTTGGGTCCCCTGGAACTGGAGTTGTGAGCCACCATGTGCATGCTTGGAACTAAACCTGGGTCCTCTGCAGGAGTAGCCAGTGCTATTAACCACTGAGCCATAGCTCCAGACCCTGCCTTTTCTTCTGAGATAAGTTCTCACACTGGCCTAAAAGTCACCAAATAGGCTAAGCTGGCTATCCAATGTGGCCCAAGGATTTTCCTGTCTCTGCCTCCCTAGCACTGAGATTAACACCATGTCCAGCTTTTTATGTAGATGCTGGGTATTAAACTCAAATCCTTATCCTTCACAGCCAGTACTTTACTGAGCTATCTCTCCAGACCCTAATTGGCTTAAAAAAATTTTTTTTTAATTTTATGAGTGTATTACCTGTATGGATGTAAGTGCTGCCTGTATGGATGTAAGTGCATCCATGTCGTGCAATGGCTACAGAGGTCCAAAGATGGTGCTGTGACGAAATACTCTGACCAGTACCAACTTAAAGAGGAAAGGGTTTATTTTATCTTACATCTCCCGGGTCACAATTCATCAAGGAGCCCAAGGTAGGAACTCAGGGCAGGAATTTGGAGGCAGGAGTTGGAGCACAGACCATGGAGGAACTCTGCTTACTGGCTTGCTCCTTTGGCCCCTGCTCAGGCTGCTTTCTTATGCAACACAGGCCCACGCCCACCTGCCCAGGGGTGGGACACCCACAGTGGGCTGGGCCCTCCCACATCACTCAACAATCAAGAAGATGCCCCACAGACACAGCCGCTGGCCAGTCCTACGGAGGCAACTCCCCAATTAAGGCTCCCTCAACCCAGGTGTGTCAAGCTGACAGTAAAGCTCTCCAGCACAATTCCCTACCTAGAACTAGGGTTGTTTGCTGCCATGTGGGTACTGGGAATTGAGCCTAAGTCTTCTGCAAGAGGAACCAGTGCTCTTAATCATTGAGCCACCTCTCTAGCCCCATAATTGGCTTTTTTAAAACCAATTTTCTTTTCATTTACATTTTGCTTTTATACTGAGGAAAACTGTTCCCAGGGAGAAGGGCAGATGTTCTGTCAAATCAAATTTTATTAAAACAAAAACTATTAAGCAGAGTTAACTATTTACCACAGAAAACAGTTTAGAAACAGTTGAGATACAGAAAGGTTCTAAAATAACAAGAACAACAACAAAAAAGAGAAATGTGCGATGGTATGTATGACGTAAGAAATCACTTAGGTAATACTGAAGTCAGTGCTACAACAGGAGCAGCAGACAGGAGGAAAAAGAATGTTCTTTTAAGTTTTTTAGAACTTATGACAGAGTTCAAAATAAAGTAATTATGGAAAAAAAGGCACAGAAAGGGTTAAGTAAATACAGTAGCTTTACAAGCACCTAATCAGCAGTAAGTGGCTGAGGGACAGGAAGCTCTTTGCTTTCAGTGTCTGTGGTTGCAGCCTTTTCTTACCTCTTCTGCTGTACTAACATGTCGCCTCTGAATCTTCTTAGGGCTTAAAAGACTCCGACGACATGAACCACTCCAAGATGGACTTGGAACAGGTTTAATAGGAAAAGATTTTTCATATGCAGATACATGGCAGTGATGGTTTGACTTTCCCGTAAAGGCATTTGATAATCCACTAAAATAAAGTTTGTACAAAAAATTGTTAAGATAAATCTAGTGGTTATTTTTACTTTTAGAAATAATAAAAATAAGCAAAATGGACAGAATGATAGATGTACCGCTAATAGGAAATATACAATATATTACATATGAAGTATAGCATCAGGTTCTGCTTCTTACTGCTAAATCGTGTAATTATCAAACAAAACTGTTTTTCTTGGATCCACAATCTAGAATTTCCTTTGTCAGGAATCATATAGCCACACGGTACAAGAGAAAACAAACTAGATGAGACTTCTTGGCAAAACCTGGACTCTAGGTGTGTTAGCCATGGACGTACATTTCCTATCACTATTCTACATTTCAACTCCACAGCCCTGTCCCTAAAGCCCTTTAGGTGAATCAAACTGAAGCCTCACAACTAAACTTTCAAAGGGAATTTTAAAATTTCTTGCAAGGCCAACAGAGGGCTCCCATCCGTCACTGAAAACAGCCAGGAGGCCAGTTCTCTTTTCTACTGTCCTCTGTGATGCCTCCTTTTGATGGTCTACTCTCCTCTGAAGAGTTTTGTTTCTTTGTACCATCTGTGCCCTTTCTAGTGGGGAAAAACTGGCAAGAAAAATATCTGTGAACTCAAAAGCCCAATCTTCTACCTGAGACTCACTAATTTAAGGGTTCATTTTTCTATACCATGCTTTCCATCGGCCATTATCCATCAAGTCTGAGGTACTTTATCTGACCATATCAATTTCGCTTCTTTTGCTGAGAAGTCAAATGGTTACACAGCTCATTAAGTTAAATTCAGTGAAATCAACTTCAAATAATTGTGTGTGGTATAAATCCAAATGAATGGACTAGATCTAAAGAACATCAAATAAGCAAATATACTTTTCAAAAGGTAGTGACTTTTATGCATAACATAGTAAGGGAAGGAGCATAGACGCCAAATTTCAGAACAGCCTTCTTCTTTAAGACTGCGAGGATGTGGTTCGGAAACGATAGCGACAGTGGTGTGAGTGTTTAGGAAAGACATGTCTCCTCAATGATTTTGTACTTGTGCTTCCTAAATTGTGTCTTTTTAACAGTAAAATAACTAACCAAATAAGCAGTATGAGGATATTTTGCAATGCCAGAAAACAAACATGCTACCCTAATTAATGAGGTTGAGTCTAACAGAGCTCATAAATTCAAGGCCAACATGGGCAACTTGGGAGACGGGCTCCAAGAAGTCAAGGAGGCGGAGGACCTAGCTCAGAGGTACAGTACTTGCCTAGCAGACTTAAGACCCTAGGCTCAATCCCCAGCAGCACAAAAACAAAACAGAACAAAACAAACAACAAAAAGTTGTAGTGAATTTAGATTTACCAAATCCATAATGATAAACTATGAAGTGGCTATTTAAAAAAACTTATTTTAAAACTTGATAGTGAAAAAAAGAACTAATCATACTTTTCCCATAATGTGTTTTAGGGTAACCAAACAGCCTTAACTTATGAAAAAAAAACCATACTGTCAATTAATAAAAAGAAATGATAAAAGGAACATACTACTCATTAACTCTAAAAAATTATCAGATATGGATTATCAATTGGTATTGATAATTACTAGGGAACTAGTTTCAGTGAAATTGGTCATTCATATAATGCCACAGGAATATGAATTGGTCATTCATATAATACACAGATTGTATTCTGTCACAAGGGGAATACCTTAACTGTACAATCAGGGACCAGACTGTCATCTTGGTAGTCAAAAGTGAATCTTTTAACGTGAACGACAAAAGAACCAGACTGTTTTTTTCTCTAGTGTGATGTCACACATCATCTTTTCTTCCAGTCAAAAAATCAGTTTACACAAAGCACAGGGGATGGAGAACAAAACAATGATATCATGAAGCAACTGCCAAATCTAAAAGGTGGAATTATGCCTGGGAAAGTCATGCCATTAAAAAACAACAATCATCAAGTCAATTAAAGTCATTTTGTTGGTTTCGATCAATATCAGAAGGTGTGGTCACCAGGAAACTAAATATTCCATAAATATATACAGAGAACTTAAAAAGCTATAAGAAGAAATACTTTAATAACATATGGGCTAGGAGCCAGGTGTAGTAGTGTGTATCTGTAATCCCAGCACTTGGGAGTTGGTTGGCAGAAATCAAGAGTTCAAGGTCAACCTCAGCTACACTGAGTTTGAGGCCAGCCTGAAATACATGAGATCCTGTCTCAGAAAAACAAAAACAAAACAAAACAAACATACTGATGGGTTGGGACTGTAACTCAGTGGTAGAGCAGTCGCCTTGTATGCACAATGCCCTGCATCTGCTCTTCCCAATACTTAAAAAATTAAAAAATAATAGAGTACCCGTGGTAGCCACCTTTAATAACTAGTATAAGTTTGGTGAGGGAAAAGGTGGGGCTCATGAAGGATAACATTTTCTTTTTTCTTTTTCTTTTTTTTTTTATTTTGTGTGTATGTGTGTATTGCCTGCATGTAGGTAAGTTCACCCATGTCATGCAATGCCCACAGAGGACAGAAAAGGCTGTCAGATTCCCCTGGAACTGGAGTTACGGAAAGTTGTTAGCTCCCATGTGGGTGCTGGGATTTGAACCTGGGTCTCCTGCAAGAACAGTGTTCTTAACTGCTGAGCCATCTCTCCAGGCCCAAGGAAAACATTTCTATGACCTCTGCTTTCTAATAGATAGAAGTGGCTTAGGGCTAACTAACACAAGAGGCCTGAACGACTTTAAGTCAGCTTTCTGTGCATGTGAAAGGTTATAAAATGTCCCGATTTCTTTGCCACTCAAGTTGCAGAGATTTTACTCGATTTTCACTTTAAAATTTGCAAAAGCCATTTGGACACTATCCTTAAGAGTCCTAACACATTCACCCCTACCAAGATTGCCCTTTAAAATTTCTCTTCTAATGATAAGACTTGACTATCACCCAAATTCAGCACTAAGCAAATGTACTTGTATTACATATTGCTATGGTTTCAAGCCAAAAGAGAACTACTTATTTAGAATTCAAATATAACAAATACCTTGGTACCACTTTTTCCTATATTGAGGAAGGGTTTGAGAAGGAGGCAAACAGAACACTAACCTTGAGGTCTTTCGGGTTTCGAGGTAAAGACTCCGACTGTTTCTTGATTTCTGTAAAGTTGAGACTGATGCTGGAGTAGAATTTCTCCACTGTCCATCTGCACTTTGACCAAAGGTTCTCAAGTCATCTGAGCCAAGAAAACTGTCTGAGGAAGGGTTGTCTAAAAACAGAACAAACAAAACAAAACAAAACAACCCACAATAAAAGTTTGAATAAATTAAACAATAACTAGAGCTAGGTCTTTTTATGATTGCAACCATGTTCCATCACTGCATTCCAAAGTAACGTAGCCTATCACCATGTTTCTCATGGAAGAAAGCCCAGTCTCAACTGCCAATAAAATCTGCAGTAAGGGAACTTCTACAAACTATAATTGATTCAGCCATACTAACCTGAAAATTGATGAAGGAGCTGAATCCTGCCACAGTCATGTGCCTTATCTGCATCAATGTGACTCCGTGGTGTCCACCAAAAGTCAACATTTTACCCCAACTATATCTTGCAAGCACTCCCAGGCCTGGGCCTGAAAGAAGGTAGGCCAGACCAGTAAGAAAGCAAGTGGAGGGCCAAGGGGATTGTAATTCAAATGAACAACAGTTATTGCTTAATAAGCAGCTGGTGCCACTTTCTGTAGTTACCATATTCCAGACTCAGGGAATCTCTCAAAGAGCACAGATAACCTAATTGCTGCTTATTCTGGCTGGCTTATGGCAGGAATGACCCATTATACCCCTCTGGTTCTGGGTATCCAGTATGATAGTCTTCAGTTACTTACAGCCACAATCATTGGATGTATCTATACTCCAAAGATTGCTACTACTCAGACTGGGGACTATCTGCTTATTATTTGAATTCTATGACTTCTGGATTATAAAACGGGGTGACAAAAACCTCTCGAAGTTTGAGCTTGTACAAATGGGAAAATAACTTCTATACCCTCCTCTCTCTATCAAGAGGATTTAGGTAAGTTAAACAGTTCCTGCAAAATACTTCAGACATTAGGCTATGGAATTCTAAGATGCTTCAGTGAAAAATAAGAATGATAAATTCTCTATTCCCAGAATTTTTGTCTAATGCTAACAACATTCTGAAGCTTTCCTTTCAAGGACCATTACTGTAGAATTTTGCCTAACTGTGTGTGTGTGTGTGTGTGTGTGTGTGTGTGTGTGTGTGTGTATAAATATATGTATTTGAAGTATTTAGGGTGGCATGGTGGTGCACACTTGTAATCTTAGCACTTGAGAGGCTGAGGCAGGAGGATCATGAGTGCAAGGCTAGCCTGTACTACAGAGTAAGAGGCTCTGTCTCAAAATAATTACATACATAATTACAAATACACACACACACACACACACACACACACCTATCCAAGTTTTTAAAAGCCTTCAAAAAGAAAATTTAATATTTTCTTTCTTAAGTAAATCATGAATCAGGATTGGGGTAAATATGGTAAGAGGGAGAAAAAGCAATTTTCAGTAATATTAGTACCAGTCAGTACACAAACAGTCTCACAATTAAAATAAGCTAAGTTTATTTTCAAACTGAATTAGAATCTTTTTCCCTTGTAGTATCTATGAATAACATTTATTACTTTTATTACTGTAAGGGAAGAGACATGAAACTACTGAACATGAGTCTCAGTTGAAAACCAAAAACAAACTCCAAAAAGCAATTGTTGTTAAAGACACAAAGTAATAACAGTTGAAGTAGTTGTCTTTTACAACTTTTGCTAAATGAACTAAAAATGTCTATACTTGAGAAAGAAGTCTGTCAAAAATGTAAATCATCTTTATCGATATGAAATCTGAGACCAAGGATAAGTCAGAACAGCTTTCCCTGAGCATTGGACAGAGTCTTCAGCTTTAAAATTCAAGGGGGAAGCAAGAACAGGCAGTCTGTTTAACCAGAGTAAGTGGTTCTACCCACATCCAATGACATCACTGAATGATCTTCTACTGCTGATGTGCGCAAAGGGCCAGTGAGAGGCTACAAATGATATATATATATATATTTTAATTATTTATTTTCATTTTATGTGTATGAGTGTCATGCCTGCATGTATTTAAGTGCACCCTGTCATGCAATGCCTGCGGAGAACAGAAGAGGGTCTTGGATCCCCTGGGACTGAAGTTATAAATGGCTGTTAGTCACCATGTGGTTGCTGGGATTTGAATCTGGGTCTTCTGCAAGAGTAGCCAGTGCTCTTAACTGCTTAAACCATCTCTCCAGCCCCAATAAATAATTTTTAAGTGAAGATTTAGTCTGTTGTTTTGTCATCTGTTAATTTTCTGTAGGGACAGGTAACAAACTAAAAGTTCTGTTAGAGTGTATGCTTGCTATGCAGAAGCTCTTCTGCTCCCACAAGCTCCTGCCTATGAATCTATAAAACTTGTAAAACTAAAAAAAAAAAAAAAAGAGTCACATAAACACTTTCTCTGAAGATAACACTATATTTTTTTTTTTTAACATTAGGATTTATTCTTTATAG